CTATTCAGAAGTGTAAACAAGAAAATTATCAATTATCTGCTCATTTTATCGAGCTTTATTTTAACTTCTTTTTCTAGTTGCCATTTTTAATAGAGATTTTTTAAAAGCTATTTTGTATCAAAGGAAAGTGTAAAAAAAACGTGTTGAAACCGTAAACCTCACATTTTATTTTTCTGACATAACCGTCCTTTTTAAATATTGTTTTAGTTTGTTTGAAATGTAAGAATAAAAACATGGTTATTAAAATGACTTGTAGGAAGTGTAAACAGAAAAATACTTGTTAGGAAACCATCTGCTTTAATTATTACATCATTTTAATACAAATTAAGTTTACTGGATGACATTAAACTTTATAAAAACACTAAAATATTTTTATTTTGCAGCCCTGTCACATTTTTCTGATCTCTATTCCTGGCTGTCCACAGAAACAAATATTAGCTTTAAATTAAAATAAGAGTTTTTTTTTTACTTTATATCTGCAGGAAGTTCAGCTTTTCATATCATGTATGAGGATTAACGCCAAGATCCTGTTTTTAATCTATAAACTCATATTTCAACCCCAGGCTTCAGATAGTTAAAAATGTTTTATCAGGTTTTGGTTTTACTTCAGAGGTTATTTTCAAAAATAATAAATTGAAATCAGCTCTCAGGCCACGAGGAAACCTTTAAAAATCAGGTAAATCAATAACCAAACACACGTTTTATGACCTTTTTATTCTCTGATTCAACACCCTCACATGCTGGGTTCGTTCAGGAGTTTTGAGTCCCGACTGCAGAACTGAAACTCTGACGCTTCGGCCCGGCTCAAACTTTTAGAGGAACTTGAGYCCAGAAACACGAAAGTCGTGAGAATATTGATGCTTTTCAGATTTATCTGACGGTCTCGCTCCGTCAGCAGACAGACGTGATTTTTTTATTTATTTATTTGTTGTTGCTCAGCAGGAAAACGTGTTTGTTCGTAGATATGTTGTAGATCCATAGTGGTTAATGTTCAGGGTTTCACTTTTGGTCCAGTCCCACAGGTTAACTGGGTTTCAGATGAACCCGTCTGAACTAYTCAAACTTTACAAAAAAACCTTTACGATAGTTTACAGGTTGTTTACAGTAAAAATKACATTTAAATACAATTAACAGATGAAGTGGTTTGCTTCATCCTCATCTTCCTCCTCCCTGAGGAGAAAGATGAGCGTTTTCTTTTTCAGGCTCGTTCGCCTCAGTTTCTCCACCGTCTAAACGTGTTCCTCTGAGGGAGGACGCCGGGCCGGAGTGGATCAAACGAGCTGCAGAAGGAGGTCGTGGACCGTGTCCAGACCCTGGCAGGACTTCCTCTTGGCTCCTTCAGAGTCCAGCTGAGCGGCCAAGAGGAACAGCTTCCTGTCGTCGGTCACGGCGTCCAGAGACAAGGCTTCATGGAGCTCCGACACGCTCACGGCACCGGGCTTATCCTGCCGTGAAACACACAAATCACCCTTTTACTGATAGATCTGGTTTCTGTTCCATAACTCGGACCAGATTATTGGAGCTCCTCCTGTTTAATCTGCACCAGAGACGAGACAAAAGGTTCAACCTTGGTTATTATTTATTTACAACAATCCTAATCCTGAAAACGTTGGAATTTTGAATAAAATGTAAATGAAAATAAAATATAAAGTGTTTTTTCTGCACAATGAAAAATGTTTTAAAACCTGTAGATGCTTTTCTGCATTGATGGAGCGTTTCAGGCCAGAGGTACTAATGCACCCCCATACMATCAGCGAGGCAGGCTTTTGAAGCAAAAGCTGAGAAGTTTGTATGCTGCCATAAAATTCAAAATTAMCTTATTTATCCCTCRAAAATGGTTCAATTTCATTTTCACTTGAATAAAACATTTGTTTATGAGATTAGCTTAATAATGCCCAACTTTTCTGAAATTAGAGTTAAATATTTTTCTACATTTTTCGCACCAATGAGTTCAGCAGAAATTCACTTAGTTTCTAAAGGAATAAGATGTAAACCTGTAGAGCCCGCTGACGTTCTGCGTCGTTTTATTCTGGAATCAGCCGAAGCTCAGATCATAAGCTGCTCTGATGCTGGATGTGATTAGCAAACATCATGAATAATTTCTGAACAGYGTTGAAATATGAGCCGTGGAGGAAATGTAGTTATGTTTATTTCAGGAGCAACAGATAATTTCRGCTGTGAAAATAAAGAGTAGCCGCTCTGAAGAGACGTTTTCCATGAATAATTTACTCTTAGTGTGATTAAGAAGGTTCAACACGGAGAGAAAACTGTTAACTCTGGTTAGTCATCGCGTTTCTGTCTTACATTAACGAGGAGSTGAAAGTGGGTTTTATTATTTATTAAGATTGTCGTCCTGCTCGATAAACGTCAACCAATAAAWATGAGTTATATAATCGAGCAGAACCCAAACTAACAGCCGGGATGGAAAACATGAGCCTGAAGCGGTTCTAAAGACACAAAATGTTCCACTGGTTGAAATGTTGATTCTTTATAGTCATGGGATGGTTCAGAGCTTCTGTGGAAAGAAGATAAAGCACCAGAGAAATGTTTCTGATGAATATTATTAGAGGTCGTAGCCATAGGCGAATATTTGCTAAACCGTAGCTAAAAGCTAAAATAGGCAAAGCCATAGCTAAAAGCAGCAAAAAGAAGAGAAAAATAGAAGAAGTATATTGATCTGATTCCAGAGAATGACTGAGATCTAAATGTTTTATTTTTTACCAAGAACCCTCTTTAAGAGATCTGAACTCCACCTTCAACCAGGTTAATGTTTTACCTGCTTGTTTCCCAGGACAACCACGGGCAGCTGAGGCTCCACCCCCAGGAGGCGGTGCAGCTCAGCCTTAGCCAATGGAAGGCGGGTCCGGTCGGATGAGTCCACCACATACACCAGAACGTGAGTCCGCCTCAGGTAGTCCAACCAGTACCGCCGCAGATGCTCACCTCCACCGACTGAAAAAACATATTGGTACAAATTCTGGAATGGATACCTTTTTTAGATGCAGAGTTATGACTCACGTACCGAGGTACAAACCAAAGTACGACTCATACTGAGGTACAAACCAAAGTACGACTCATACTGAGGTACAAACCAAACTAGCACTCACATACTGAGGTACAAATCAAACTACAACTCTCGTACTGAGGTACAAACTAAACTACGACTCTCATACTGAGGTACAAACCAAACTACGACTCTCATACTGAGGTACAAACCAAACTACGACTCTCATACTGAGGTACAAACCAAACTACGACTCTCATACTGAGGTACAAACCAAACTACCACTCACATACTGAGGTACAAACCAAACTACAACTCTCATACTGAGATACAAACCAAACTACAACTCACATACTGAGGTACAAACCAAACTACAACTCACATACTGAGGTACAAACCAAACTACGACTCATACTGAGGTACAAACCAAACTGTGTCTTTATACCACTATGCTTCCCACAGTGTGACTCTCTCTATGAGGTCTGTACCAAACAGATCTTTTCCACCACCACACCTATATTTACAAGTAGATAAATAAAGAATTCAGATTTCCTTGGAAGCTAAAGCGATCTGTTTGCTGCTGATGAGATGGAAGCAGCAGAAGTGTTGTACAGAAACCAGGAGGATGAAACTGTCGGTGCAGAGCAGCAGCAGCTCGTCAGATCCTGACCTTAGAGAAACCAATTTCCGGATCGAATGAGATCCATTTTTTATTAAAAGTTTAATAAAACCAGCTTGTTTTAGAAGATAAATGTTTGTTGCCTCCAGACTGAGTGAAACATGAGAATTAGTTTTCTTCTGTGAAACAGACTGGTTTGTTTGATCTTTAGGAAAATACTTTGATCTTTCCATTTCTTTCCCCACAGATATTTTTTCTCAGAGAGTTTCTCCTTTCTGAATAAATTTTCTAAAACATATTTTATCATGTTTTTAAAGATGAGGGAAAAACGAGTGCAGCATGAAATGAACGACACATTTCCTGTCAAAGTTTTAAAGAAAAATGATGATAAAGTAGCTAAATAAAAACAGCACTTGGAGTTTGTGTTGAGGATGACTCTCGGCTACTACCACACCCAACTTTAGCTCCATWTCAGTCATCCAAGTCATTTGTGTTCACTAAAGGCCCTTTGGTGKTTTGAGGTATTTTGCTAACAGTTATTTACATGATTGTCCTTTCATGGCAGGAAATGATAACAAATCAGTAAAATTGGCAATCAGCACTTTTCTGAAGAGTTTAGGGTCAGAAGTTTTTGCCTTCATACCTGTAAATATTCCATAACTACCTCTGAATGAGTTCCAGGCTGCAGATAACACCACACCGTTTGAGATGTCTGACTGGAAACAACACAAACATGTCGAAGTTCACCTCCGCTGGACTTTGAACGTTAACTAGTCACAGAGAAGCTAACGATGCAAACTGACCAGTGATAACGAGTGTTTTCAGTCCAACAATCTGAGGAACAGAGCTGAATGCTTCAGGTGAAGTCAAACCCCTCCCTGTGACTCAGGGTGGTGGTAGGCAGGTTCCACAGCAGTGCTCCACCAACAAAAACCAAAGACAGGAAACTATTTCAAATCTATTTTAGTTTTTAGAGCCTTTTGTTTTTTGGCCGATGTTAGATATTACTGGATATCATGTTTACTTTGAGTAGGCAAGCAGGTAGGTAGGTCAGTTAGTCAATAATTACTGGTAGGTAGAGTTGACTAAATGAGTAGGTTGCTAAGTAAATAGTAGTGTCTCTTTCCTGTCCTCCAACCAGCCGGTCGAGGCAGATGGTCTCCTGTCCTGAGCCTGGTTCTGCTGGAGGTTTCTTCCTGATTAGCAGGGAGTTTTTCCTCTCCACCGTTTGCTCAGGATGGGAGACTGTGATGAAGTGATTCAACACAATCTGCTGCTTTCTTCTTTACATTGTTCTTTTTATGTACAGTGCCCTATGTTGTGACTTGGCGCTATATAAATAAACTTGAACTTAAATATGTAGATAGGTAATTAGGTGGTTAAATAAGTAGGTGGTATCTTAGTAGATGGATAAATAAGTAGATAGGTAAGTAAGTTGTTAAATAAGTAGGTAGTTAAGTAGATAAGTAGGTAGGTAAATAAAAAAGGAGGTAAGTATGTGGTTAAATAAGTCAGTAGGTAGGTATAGTTAATATGTAGGTAAATAGGAGGTTCAGAAGTAGGTATGTGGTTCAAAAGTAGTAATTAATTAAAAGGCAAGTAGTTAAATAAGTAGGTAGGTAGGTTAGTACATAGTTAAACAGGTAGGTAAATGGGGATTAAATAAGTAGTTAGTCAGTTAAGTAGGTAGGTAAGTAAGTAGTTACATAAGTAGGTAATTAAAAGTTTGTAAGTATGTTTGTAGGTAGTTAAATTGAAAGGTAGGCAGGTAGTTAAAAAGGTAGGTAGATAAATAAGGAGCTAAGTAGGTAAGTTAAGTAGGTAGTTTATTAGGTAGTTAAAAAGGTAGGTAATTAAATATGTAGGTAGTTAAATTGATATCGATTGATATATTCTGGACTTGCTACCTGGCGTGGTCACACTGTGGCTGCTGGATATGGGCACCAGGTAAAGATGATGGATGGATGGATGGATGGATGGATGGATGGATGGATGGATGATATATTCTTACACCCCAGTAGGTTGTTAAATAATTAGGTAGGATTGGTCATTAGGTAAGTAAATAAAAACAGAGTGAATACATAATTAGGTAAGTAAATAAGTTGTTAGGTATGTAGTTAAATAAGTAGGTAGTTATCTCTCTCTCTCTGTGATAATTAGGATCTGCTACATCACTGACTCCATCACACCCACACCTCCAGTATGACTCAGGTTCTGTTGAGGGTCCAGTATGACTCAGGTTCTGTTGAGGGTGGGTTTCTTGTGCTTCTTGTCAGCTGACATTGGGCTCAGCAGCACGGACCCCCCGCTGAGCCCCTCCGGCTCTGGGGGAGCAGGTACCTCTGCCACATCACATCAGCTGGAGATCCATCACGGCTCAGTTTCCTAGCAACCTCCCATAATGAATTCTGGCAGAGCTCAGCGGAGGCGAAGGAGGCGAAGGAGCAGGAGTCACACCTGCCAGCGTGTGAGCGCTGATCCGTTCGGTCGACGAGCCTCGCTGGAGGCTCCCAGAAACTTCTCTTCAGACTAAAATAACTGACTTTCTATATTTTAAACCCATCAGAATCCTGCAGAACCTTCAGGGTGGGACTGAAGTAAAGATCTCCTGCCTGAGAGAAGTAAGAGTGCCTGTTAGCAAAATATCTCACCAACCACTGGAAGGTTTGATGGTTTACAGCTGATTAGAGTAAACTTGATCCAAGATGGCCACCACAGCTAACTAATGTTAGCGAACAAACAAAGAGCTAAAGGTTAGCCAGTTTCACCAGACCATATGTAGAGTAGACACAGCATCCTCTGCTGCAGCGCATGAAATACGGCCGCCATCTTGGAAAGGTCATCCTTGGCTAAACCCAAACAGCAGAAGATGCCTGAGCTCAGCACTGTGCGCCATATTTCTGTTCTAATCGACAAACTCTGAAAATCTGAGCTCCAAGGATAAAGTTTCACACGTRAGATGAATTTATTAGTTTGTATTTTKTGAGTAAAATATTACTGTACTGTACAATGTGTGTAGACACAACCAAATCTCCTGTTTTTGTTTTGAAGGTTTCCCAAAAAAAGATGAAGAGATGGATACACTGCAACGAGACACCAAAGCTGAGAAAACTATACAGTTTAAATGGGCAGATTAAACTGAGTGGAGCAGGCGACTCTTCCAAGATGGCGGCCTCACGTCTCGTCAGCTCCAATAGGCGGTAGCGGTGATTACAGTATCTTTATTATATCTATGAGTTTCACAGAGGATGAGCTAAAGTTTGCCCTCAGGCGTCATCAGTGGGAGATATTCTTCCTTTAATCACATAAAGTGATGTTTCAGGGCTGTGGCTGATCTGTTGTTTAATAAAATTAACTTTAAAATAAGAAATGTTTGTTTTTTTTTCCCCCTCTGGTACCAGGCCCAGTTCAGTGAAACCTTTGGATCAAAGAACCAGCTGTTCTGAACATGTGTTATTTTTACGCTGATATTAAATGAGTTTAAGAACCACACAGACCCGGTTCTGTTTGCTCGGATCAGACGGTGGGGGTCTTACTCTCCAGAAAGTCCAGCTGACAGGCGGGGGCGTCCAGGCTCACGAAGTTGAACCCACGGGTCGGGCGGCACCGCCCCCTCTGGTCTGCCAGCTCCCCGGGGGTCAGACCCTGGAGCATGCTGCTCTTCCCGGCGCCGTCCAGACCCAGAACCAGAACCTGACGCTTCCCGCGCTCCTCCTCCTCCTGCGGGCAGAAACAGACCTCGAGTCAAACACAAGTTCTGTTAGCGAAATATCTCAACAACCAGTGGATGTAACGTGCATCTAAACCTGTTTTAGAAACATGGGTCACCATCATCTTCCTCACCTCCACACTTCATCTCTTGAACATCCTGTCTTCATTGTTAAAAGTCCTCCTCGTTTATTTTTTTATTTTAATTCAGCCTTTATTTCATCAGGCWAAACATTAAGAACAGTTTCTTATTTACAATGTTGGMTTCATCATCACTGAGATGTTTTATCTCCAGATGTTTTTATGTCACCAAGTGATGTTTTCTTAAACGCTGAGTCAGCATTCACTCTGTTGGTTCTAATGCTGAGTCAGCATTCGCTCGATTTCCTGACTGTAGATTATTTTAGACTGAAATATTTAACAAACCGATGATATTTTTTTCTGTCGTTCACTTGTCAAAATGTTCAGCTCATTTAGCGTATTTAACTCATTTAGGATGTTCGGCTTGTTCAGGAYGTCACAGCTACTGCGTTTAGGTTTTGAATTGTTTAACTTTCTTAAAGTTATCGTTGGTTTTAACTTTTAGCTACTGTTTTGCAGGTTTTAGCTAATATCCCCTGTTCTGCTGATTTAAGCTGTTTTGCTTTTAGCTTGTATTGTGATAGTTTAGCTTTTATCCACTGTTTTGCTAATTGTAACTTTTGGTTATGATAGATTTACCTTTTTTGCTTAAGATCTGCTAATTTTAGCTGATGTTTGGCTGAGTTTAGCTGATGTTTGGCTGAGTTTAGCTGATGTTTGGCTGAGTTTAGCTGATGTTTGGCTGAGTTTAGCTGATGTTTGACTGATTTTAGCTGATGTTTGGCTGATTTTAGCTGATGTTTGGCTGATTTTAGCTGATGCTCTTATTGTTGAATTTTAACAGAAAGTGTTTTTCCTTTTCTTCATCGTGGTCTTCTTCACTCCTGTTCATTATGATCAGCCCATTTCTCTTCATAATCATCTTTCTCACTGGATTTTTGGCAGGTGTCACCTTCATCATCATCATCATCATCATCATCACCATCATCATCACCATCATCATCATCATCATCATCATCATCATCATCACCATCATCATCATCATCATCATCATCATCAGGTAATCCTCCTGACAGACCCTCGTGCAAAACAACCTGATTTATTTATTTATTTATTTATTTATTTATTTATTTATTTATCTATTTAAGTAAAAATAAAGACTAAAATGAAACGGAATAGAGTCAGCGGTGCCGGTTCGGTCCGGTCCGGTCCGGTCTCACCTCTCTGATGGAGCTGTACTCCGCCTGAGGAGACCAGACCCGCCGCTTGTAGAGGAAGTTGAGGGCGATGAAGAGCGCGGAGCCCAGCGCGGCCACGGCGGCGGTTAGGGCGATGGAGATGTTCCGGAGGAGAACCATGAGTGGACCGACCGGGACCAGAACCGGGCTCCGGTGTGAAGAGCCTGCACCGGATTTCTCCTTTTCTCTTCTGGTCGCGCGCTCTGCGAATGTTTTTGTTTCGAAGAGCGCATGAGGAGGAGGGGAAAGTGATGCGTTCAAKTCGACTCGGAAACCGCGAATATTTAATTAGAGACTCTCAATTAAACCAAACTGTTAAGCCTTTCCCCACCTTTTTTTAATATGATTGTAACTCTGTCATTTGTATCTAAGTTTAACAAAGGAAGGCGGGTGATAATGTTGCATTTGCCAGTATGCATATAGGTCTTTTAGCATAATATCTCATGAACCACTTGATGCAATTTAATTAAACTTCCGGGTAATAATTGTTGGATGTACTTCTACAATTGATTACCGTTTTAAGAGAATCCATTTCAAGAACTACTAAACTAACGATTACTCAACACAAAAATGTCAATAGTGCTGTCAGTTTTATTTATTTTATGTTATTTAAAACCCGTCCACCCTTAAAGTTTTTGTGGGGTGACAGAAACATCAAATGTCCGACAGTGTTTGAAGGCACCACAGACATCAACATGTCTAACAGACATCAACATGTCTAACAGACAAAGCTGAAAGTTTTCAAATCTTTGGTAAACTTCTGTAAAGAGGAGGTGAAAGCCATGTGCAGATTAAAGTTCTGACCCTTCATGAGAAGAGTCTGAGCTCCATCTAGAGTCCAGTCAGGTSTTTTTCATGTCTGCTCATTTTAACAGAGGCTTTGGGAATGGATGCATAAATTATCTTTAAATGATGTGTTGCAGTTCAACATTTATTATTTATTATTAAGGTCATATTCTGCAGCTTAATTTTTTCAAAAATAACTCAAAATGCATTAAAAAYAATTGTTTAAGGTTAAGTTCAAATGTTTAAATTATGTTGCTGTTTGTGTAAATCAAAACTATTTTGGTGGTGTGACATGAGCAGGGGCTGTATGTCTTTTAATTTGAACTTTTAATAATACAGATTACAAATAGCTTTATAAAAGAGTGATAAACAGACATTTTTGATCAAAATAAATATGTTTCAAAACTTAATTTGCTGTATTTTATTCAAAAATTTGAAACAGAAGCAGTTTAGCATACAAACCAGCAGGGGGCGCTGTAAGACTGAAAACTTTTAAAACTGAATGAAAAAAAATAGTCAAAATGTGATTTAAAAAACAGCTTTAGAGAATAAAGGA